CCACAGCAACTCGTCAATCACAGATCAAGTCGTTTTGTTATGTGTGGTGTGCGCATTCTCACAATGCCAGGAGCAAGGCGGTGCTGACGGTAGCAGGGGAGGCAACCAAGCTCCGCAGCAGGACTCATGATCAATTCACCGTCAGTTGGTTTCAATCACACACAAATCCTGGATTGCATCGAAGGACAGCTCGGGCCCAGGCGACGGTCCTGCTTCACAACAGGACTCATGCGTGATTAATGCTCCTTGTGATGTGCCACAGAATTTCAGACTGGATTGCACCGAAGGATGGAAGCTGGGGCCAAGGCGACGGTCAGGCTACGCAGCAGGACACGTGAATGTGCTTGTGTGGCAAAGAAATGAATGCACAGTGTATTGAACCACAGGACGGAACCTGGGGAAGCATGGCCTGGGGACAAAGCGGCGGTCAGGCTTCGTGGCAGGACTTCTCAAGAGTTCTTTTTGAGACAACTCCACCCAATCCGAGGACGCAACCTGGGATTCCTGGGGCCAAGGCGACGGTCAGCCATCGCAGCAGGACTCGTTCAGGTTTCTTTTGAACACTCACTAAATTTCACAGTGGATCATTGCATTGCATCGAAGGATGCAAGCTGGGGACGAGGTGACGGTCGGGCTTCGGCTCGAAGCTGGGGATACTTCAACAATCAGGCTTCGCAGCAGGACCCATGAACGTGCCCTTATATTGACTCATTGAACCGTAGGACCAAACGTGGGGAAGCATGGCCTGGGGGCAAGGCGCCGGTCAGGCTTCGTGGCAGGACTTCTCAAGAGTTCTTTTTCAGACACCTCCATCCAATCCAAGGACTCAACCTGGGATGCCTGGGGCCAAGGCGACGGTCAGCCATCACAGCAGGACTCGTTCAGGATTCCTTTGTCACTTTTGTCACTCGTGGATAACTGATAGCTTCGAATCGAAGGATCCAAGCTGGGGACAAGGTGATGGTCAGGCTACGCAGCAGGACTTGCAACCATGTCTTTCTAGCAGAATGTTATGTTATCAGAGAACTCCGTCGAAGGACGGAAACTGGGATACCTGGGGCCAAGGCGACGGTCGCACATCACAGCAGGACTCATGCATGATTGTTTCCTTGTGTCACAGAACCTCTGGATTGCACCGAAGGATGGAACTTGGGGCCAAGGTGACGGTGGCACATCACAGCAGGACTCATGCGTGATTGCTTCCTTGTCACAGAATCTCTGGATTGCACGGAAGGATGGAAGCTGGGGCCAAGGTGACGGTGGCACATCACAGCAGGACTCATGCGTGATTGCTTCCTTGTCACAGAATCTTTGGATTGCACGGAAGGATGGAAGCTGGGGCCAAGGCGACGGTCGCACATCACAGCAGGACTCATGCATGATTATTGCTTCCTTGTCACAGAATCTCTGGATTGCACCGAAGGATGGAAGCTGGGGAGGTGACGGTGGCACATCACAGCAGGACTCATGCGTGATTGCTTCCTTGTCACAGAATCTCTGGGTTGCACGGAAGGATGGAAGCTGGGGCCAAGGCGGCGGTCGCACATCACAGCAGGACTCATGCATGATTATTGCTTCCTTGTGACGTCACAGAATCTCTGATTTGCACCGAAGGATGGAAGCTGGGGACAAGACAACAGTCAGGCTTGGCAGCAGGACTCATGCATGATTGCTTCCTTGTCTCACAGAATATCTGGATTGCACCGAAGGATGGAAGCTGGGGAGGTGACGGTGGCACATCACAGCAGGACTCATGCGTGATTGCTTCCTTGTCTCACAGAATATCTGGATTGCACCGAAGGATGGAAGCTGGGGAGGTGACGGTGGCACATCACAGCAGGACTCATGCGTGATTGCTTCCTTGTCACAGAATCTCTGGATTGCACTGAAGGATGGAAGCTGGGGACAAGACAACGGTCAGGCTTCGCAGCAGGACTTGTGAACGTGCCTTTGTAGCAGATTGTTTTCAGAGGATTCATTGATTGAGCCGTAGGACCAAACGTGGGGAAGCATGGCCTGGGGGCAAAGCGGCGGTCAGGCTTCGTGGCAGGACTTCTCAAGAGTTCTTTTTCAGACAACTCCATCCAATCCAAGGACTCAACCTGGGATGCCTGGGGCCAAGGCGACGGTCGGCCATCACAGCAGGACTCGTTCAGGATTCCTTTGTCACTTTTGTCACTAGTGGATAACTGATAGCTTCGAGTCGAAGGATCCAAGCTGGGGACAAGGCGACGGTCAGGCTACGCAGCAGGACTTGCAAACATGTCTTTCTGGGAGAATGTTGCTTCAGTGGCTTGACCAGTAGGACGGTTGGGGAAGCTCGGCCTGGGGGCAAAGCGCCGGTCAGGCTTGGCGGCAGGACTTCTGAATAGTTCTGATACAGAGAACTCCGTCGAATCGAAGGACGGAAACTGGGATACCTGGGGCCAAGGCGACGGTCGCACATCACAGCAGGACTCGTGCAGGGTCTCACACAGTTTGAGTGTGGATTAATAAATAATTAATTAGATTGCATCGAAGGACGGAAGCTTCACCGGTCGTCAGTCACCCAATTTCAGTGTGGATTGCATTGCCTCGAAGGATGGAAGCTGGGGACAACGTGATGGGCAGGCTGAGTCGCAGGGCACATGAACGTTTCTTTGTGCACAGAGTGAAGATCACACAGTTGGTTGATCTAATCGAAGGACGTCGGTCCGGGACGACCCGCAGATCAAGCTTCACACCAGGACTCGTTGCTCATGACATGATTCTGTAGCTGGCAAGGTCTTCTAGTCACGGTGGAGTCTAGCCTCTTCAAAGTGCGGCTCAACAGCGAGGATCATGGAGATGAGCAACAGGACAACTTGTATAGTGCTAGAGTCAGAGTGGCAGCGGAGGAACTTCCGCTGACTAAACAATGAATGTTGCAGGAGGGAAGAGGTCAAGACGGTCATGGCCAGGACTTGTGAACGCGTCCAGAGTTTAAGAGTAGTGTAGGCTGTTTAATTTGAATCTTGGACCTGCAGGACGATGGGAGAGCAGATCCCTTCCAACACCAGTAGGACTCCTGAACATGTGTTTGTACTGCTGGTCGTCGGGGACACATAAGTATAAGATTGCATTGCGAGGGAGGTCTCCACTTGGATTGGAAGCTGGGGTCAAGAGACACGAGTAGTCAGAGTGCATTCACTGTCACAGCTGTGCTTCAACATCGGAGGACCAGCCACAAGACGGTCATCAGCAGGACTTCCGACTGTGTGTGTGTGTGTTTGCGTTCATGTCATGTTGACTGTCAAGTTCCACAAACACCTGACGTTCACAGGATCCCTGATGGGAGCTGCAACAATGGGGTCGTGACCGTGACCTCCAGCAAGAGTCGGTCGCCTGTTTTTTCTGTCGTGTCGTCGTTTGCGACAGCGCTTGCGGGACCGACAGTCGCAGAAGACGGGGCAGCTTCGGTTTAGATTTGTTTGGAATAAGTTAAGTCAGTCAGTCAAGTCTTAATATACCGACTTAGTCAATGAAACTATGCAACACTTCTCATTGAGTTGCCATTAATGGACACATTCAGAATTCAGCTCTTCAAATGAGAACCTACCATGGCCGGTCCCGTCTTCAGCTCGAATCGACTCGGATCAGAGCAGAAACCGACGGTCGTGCAATGATGGCAAAACAAGTGCAGCTCATGCATCATGGGTGCCACCTCATTTGTTTACAGCAATGATGCATTTTCCCGTGGACAGGCTTTCGGCAACATCTTCATGACCTGCCACATCCCTGGATGCAGTGGGTGTTCCGGTATTTACCTGTCTACTTTTTGCTCCAAGGCGAGAGCTTCACATGGGGCCGGTCAGTGTCCCGCATGAGGCGGATTCGTGAGGTGTAATCATAAATAAATCAGACCGATGGACAGACCACCGACGTGGCAGGCCGGCCCGGCGACGAGTCGGTCGTCCAGCACTAAGTCAACGTTTCATCTGAGGATCACAGAGCCAAGTCAAGATGCATTGTTTGGCACCTTGAGCCAGGCTAGCCGAGGCCATCGGGGGATCTCGTCAAAATGACAAGATCCCCCAATGGCCTCGGCTGAGCGACGGTCTGACACAGTCCAGGAGGACTGCTGGGTTTGATGCTTTGATTCACAAAGGTTCCAGTGCAGTTCACGCTTGTCCTTTTTAGAAATAATAGACAGAGCCCTATAAGTTTACCTATATCCCTTAGTAGGAATTAATTATTCAAGAAGGTCTACTAGCCGGTCTGTTCTGTTTATTCTTTCTGGGGGAAACCATGAACATGGATAATGCTGGTGCAGTTCAGGTGCAGTTGAGGTGCAGTTCAGGTGCAGTTCAGCGTTCGTGCTATTATAGATTGGTGCAGTTCAGGTGCAGTTCAGGTGCAGTTCAGGTGCAGTTCAGGTGTGGTGATGCTGCACAACCATATGTGAGGTATACAAATCATAAAATAGTAAAAGGTATGCTGTATTACACAAAAAAGACACGAATGAACTTACCAGGATCTCTGGTCTGGTCAGAGTAAGACTACTTGGCCGGTCCCTGCCCATAGCATCACACAGTTTTGGCTTAAATACATCGGCTCTAGTGATAGTGACAGTCACTATCTTGCAACATATATATATATATATTTAAGCCAAGGTGCTCCGATTGATCCATAAAGCTTCTCTGCCACATCTTGGCGACACCTGGTCAGGAAGTGTTGCCGGTCGAGCTCCTCGGGTGCTCTGGGAGGCATAGACCTGGATTGAAATTTTCAGTCCAGGTCTATCACCTCCCAGACCACCCAATCTAAATCTTCATGGCTCAGGGTACAGGCCTCAGTGTCGGTCAGCATTCAATAATGCTGGACACTGCTGTAATGATTGACTTAGCAACACCTGGTCAGGAAGTGTTGCCGGTCGAGGAGAGCTATCGACAGGTGTCCTCAACCCTTCGTCGGCACCGCTCAGCCAGTCGACTACGACTGGCTGAGTGGCGCCGACGAAGGGTTGAGGAGCTCCTTGGATGCTCTGGGAGGTCGGGCTCCTGTAGCAGTAACAGGTCCATGCCAATTTGAGATCCCAGTCACCTTAAGTATTGAGGTCCAGGCAGAAGCAGATCTACTTTCTTTGCCGGTGGTGTTCTCAGACACATGCGTGGGCAGTGTACTTTCGAAAGTGTTATGTGTGTGTTCGCTCAAGGTCTATCACCTCCCAGACCACCCAATGTAAATCTTCATGGCTCAGGGTACAGGCCTCAGTGTCGATCAGCATTCAATAATGCTGGACACTGCTGTAATGATTGACTTAGCAACACCTGGTCAGGAAGTGTTGCCGGTCGAGGAGAGCTATCGACAGGTGTCCTCAACCCTTCGTCGGCACCGCTCAGCCAGTCGACTACGACTGGCTGAGTGGCGCCGACGAAGGGTTGAGGAGCTCCTTGGATGCTCTGGGAGGTCGGGCTCCTGTAGCAGTAACAGGTCCATGCCAATTTGAGATCCCAGTCACCTTAAGTATTGAGGTCCAGACAGAAGCAGATCTACTTTCCTTGCCGGTGGTGTTCTCAGACACATGCGTGGGCAGCGTGCTTTGGATACTGTAACTAGCTATGACTTCATGATTCATATTTGCCAAGGTCGGTCGCCTACCATCACCATCTGGTCAGACACCATAGAACTGGACTCCAGCTCTATGATGTCTGATCAGCGGGTGCCGGTTGGCCTGGTCCTCATTGGTTACCTGCAGTTGTTGGGCACAGTCACAGTCGGTCTATGTCTATGATGCCTGCCATGCCACAAAGCAATTTCAGCTTCACGAGACTTGCCGGCCCCACTCCCCGTCGCTATGGCCAAGACAGGTTATGTCGGACTGTCGGTCGACCAGTGGGAGCACTGGCTCTGGAACCCAGTTCCCGACGTCCAGGCCTATTTCTCCCCATCGGTCGCTGTCTATAAGGCTATCGCTGGTGTCGGTCGCAGGTGCCTTGCTGCTGTGTTTCAGTTCATTTATCATGACCAGCGAGGATGCAGTAGTGTAGGTCGTCCTTAGTTCTGAACTGCCCGGTCGGTCAGGATGCAATACCAGCTTTCCGACACGGATCCCATTCCGGGGCCGATGTACCAACGGTCGAAGCACAAGGAGCAGGCCCATCGTGTTTCGGCTGGGGGCACAATCATGTGTGTTACTGATAACGCCGGTCGGGAAGATGAGGTCAAACTTCTGTTGACCCGGTTCGTGGTCGTGCTGGAAGTGCAGGTCGATGAGTTCCAACTGGCTATGGAACAAGGGTCGGTCAGACCATGCACCAACGACGGCTTCGTCGTGAGGAACCTCGACTTGTCGGTCGAGAAGCACCTCAAAGTCACACGCATGGACGCCCGCCTCGAGGTGGAGGCGTTGCCAAGTGACGTGCCGGTCGACAAGCCTGCTTTCGTGTTCTACAAGATCTCCGATGATGTGACGGAGCTGTCGGTCGTGAAGAAGCTAGCTACAGCATGAACAAGCCCCGAGGGCAAAAGCGGCCTTCCTCCACAGTCGGTCGGGGTGGCACTGGATATATGTATTTCAGTAACCCGACGAAGGCTGCGCTGATGTGTTGGCTGGCAGGTGGCGGCACGGCGGTCGATGTGCGGCTGAGCTACTATGGAGTGGGCATGCTTCCAGCTGGACTCCTTCACTATGATGAAAGCATGTCGCCGGTCTGTGTGCTTTGGTGGCATTCGATTCAGTGATGTTGCAGTTGCATGATTTCTAATCCTGCAGTTGCAATCTACAGCATAAGCTGTCTGCTCAGGACTACTACTACGCGCCGACGCTTCCCCAGATGGGCGTTGAGTCGGTCGCCGCGGAGTACAAGGTCATGGTTCAGTTCAGCAACAAGGTGCCGGTCGGTGACTTCGTGAAGTTAAAGAACCTCGAGACGCTGAAAGAATACATGTACCAGAACGATAAAGAGTTGGAGGAGCTGAACAGTCGGTCGTCAACTCTGCTCGCGATACAGAAGAAGCTGGTCGCAGAAATGGATGAGATGCTCGCCAAAGAGTCGGTCGTGGATCTGGCGGGCAAGACAACGGTGTCGGTCGAGGATCTGGCGGGCAAGACAAAGCAGCCACTCGTCATGGAGTCGGTCGAGGAAGATGTTGCAGGCAAGACAAAGCAGCCGCTCGTCATGGACCAGGTCGCTGAGTCTAGCTGATGTCCACCACGCCGGTCGAGTCAAAGGCCTTTTTCCTCACTCTAGCAGGCAGGCTGGCCCTGGCAGTTGTCGGTCAAATAATGACAGACCATCATGATCATGACGATAGTGTTTTCTGAATGCCAGATGCAGCCTGTCCTGCCAGCTGTCGGCCATGCCATGTGTGCATAGAGCCACAGTCGTCTGTCGGTTTCAGCAGCCAGCGAGACATGTGTTTAAAATGTGAAGCACGTGAGAGGGCATGCCAGTCGACTTAGTGTTCGAGATTGAGTGCAGCATACCTGACTTTGTTTGTTACCTGTTGGTTCTGTCATGTAGTCAAGTTGTTGACTTGGTAGCACAATGCATGCCAGCCTGGCGGTCCATGGTGCATTCCAGCGCATGGCACATGCTTTGGAATCCACTCTGGGCTGCATTTGGTTCGGAACCCCCAGGATCGGTTGCTAAGGCTTGTAGCCCCAAGTTACCAGTTCAGACATCGGTCGACAGCCCGAGCCAGAGATGACCTCCAAGGTTGAATACATGCCTTCACTAAGTTGAACCCAAAGGATGCTTTGCTAAGGCTTGTGGTCCTATCTTGGGGGTTAAAGTCGGTCTAGTGCTGCATCGTCCTAGGTCGGTCCCACTCTGACACATATGTTGCAGCACCTTAGCCGGTCGTGCATGCTCTTCCAGTTGAACCAGCAGAATAGGTTGCTAAGCCTTGTGGGCCTATCTTGTGGGTTCAACATCGGCAGGCCGGTCGATGATCTTGGAAGCACATCTCTGAGTGTCGGTCGTGCCGTTGCCTACCTGGAGTTTGGGCTTACAAGCCTTAGCAACCGATCCTCGGGGTTCCGAACCAAGTCGGCCGGTCGAGCCATGTCCAAGAAAGCAGGCACTCCTGCTTACGCGCCGGTCTACGTGGAGAGCAAGCTCTTAAAGCTTGACGACGTGTCGGTCGCCCATGATTCCGGCCATCGGGACGTCGATGAGGATCGTGTCCTGGAGTTGTATGAGAAGGTGATTTTGGCCGGTCGTTGGGGCCAGGCTTCGTTGTCCCGACCGAAGCTGAGGCCAGTCGAAAAGTTTATTTTCTCGTGCTTGGTAGTTCACTCTTGGGTTTCGCAGGTATGATCCTGCTGGTCGTCCTATGGCCGCATCTGATGGCCGGTCGAAGCTGGCAGATGGCAAGCACTGTATCGCAGCGTTGAAGATACTTGACGACGTGTAGTTTGTCGGTCCAATTCCACGTTCTGGTGTGCACTGGTTTGTCAGCTGGTCAGAAAAGAGTCGGTCGAAGTCCACGGTTTTCATTTCCCTTAATTTTAAATTACTTTCTGACCGAGGAAAGCTGCTGAGACGGTCGCTCAGTCCGATGATGCAACGCAGCTCGAGTGGTACACAGGTGAGATCAAGGACATTCTGACGGTCGGAATGCGTTTTGATTGCATCAAATTCTCGGATGATGATGAGGCCAGGGATGTGCAGTATGACTAGACACTCATGACGGTCACTAGTTACTCCTGTGTCAGGCGGCGGTCAAGCTCTTCTACACCATGGCCCATGAGCAGGAGGCCAACAAGTTGCGGACGACGTCGGTCGAGCACAAGATCAAACTTGTGCGTGCTTATGTCGCCAAAGTTCCTGGCGGTCTGATAAAGGACAGTCGGTCGACCACCTGTTTTTGTTGCTGGCCCTGAGTCTCATCTGTCAGGACGCCGAGAACGCCATGGTGGAAATTTTGGGCAAGTCACGCCGGTCAACAATCCACAACTGGTGCAAAGCGACTGCAGTGTTAAAAGAGCCGGTCCTGATCAAGCTGAAGGAGAAGCCCGACCTGCCACAGGGACTTGTTTTCACGAACAAGTACTTCGTCGGTCAAGGAGAAGAGACACGTAACTCGGCGGCATGCCATGCTGTTAGGTTTCCCTGCATTGTTGGTCGCGGAATGCAGTTGGCTCAGGCTTCCTCCTGGAACCCGAGCAGCAGATTGCTGCTCTGCAGCTTTTCTATGACTTCTGTGACGGTCGCGGGACGGTCTCTTCCATACCGACCTTCATGTCTGACTTTTGTGCCCCAATGTTGAAGGCACAGTTGTGGTGTCAGTTGGTCATGAAGAAATACTCGTCGGTCGTGAGCCGCCTACCAGCGTATGACCGCTGTCAGAAGATGCTGTGGAGTGAGCGTGGACGGTCGCGCATTTTGAGGCTTGCTAGCACTATGAACTATAACTGACATTCAGTGCCATGTCTCATTATTTTGGTGATGGGGTTGCCAAGGACGTGCATGCGTCTTGGCGTCGGTCTGTCTGGTGACCCGAAGATCGAGGGCAGTGGCATCCCTGAGTGTGTGTCGGTCCTCCAAGGGTTGAAGAATCTGGCCGCTGGTCGTGCAGTGGATGAAGCCGAAAGTGCTGTGGATGCGGCCAAAGCAACGGTCACAGAGCACAAGCTGGTCGTTGAGGGGGGAGACGACGAGTCTGGGATCTTGGCTGACGACATCACGATGGAGGCCCCACTGGTGGAGAAGGATCCTGTTCTTGAAAAAGCTGAGGAGCTCGGCTTGTCGGTCCGCTCCAACATTCATCTGTTTCATGACATGAAGACCTTTGGTGATGGCTTCGTCGGTCTATGCCGGGCGACGACCCGTGGCGGCATTTACATCGATGAGGCCACGTCGAAGGCCAAGATCATTTTGGGGGACATGGCAGAGTTGTGGAAGGTCGTCACGTCGGTCGTAGATCGGCAATACGTGTCCATGGGCATCTTCTGTGGAAAGCGCCACGACTTAGTGACGTTGGTCGTGAACCTTGGATGGCACAGAGTTCTTTCTAGACTTGTCGGTCGACTGCTGTGCTCAGCGTTGCTTCGGCTCAAGTCCAAAACGGCCGGTCGACCTTCATGGGTCGAATCAGTAACAAAAGCCTCGGGCTGAAGAGGGTGGCAGGGCCCTATGCCCGTTACTGTGCGACGGTCGCCAGGACAGGGACGGTCGACCCTCCATTGAAGCGCCTTCGAGTCAAAACCTTCTTGAAAAACTTAGATCAGAGCCGGTCGCGATGGAAGCAGATGTCAAAAAAGGAGAAACAACCCTTTGTGGACGCGGCGGTCAAGGATCACAGAAAGCACAACGCCCTCAAGAGGGAGCTCGCTCATCCTCCAGTGGAAGTCGACTCGCCGGTCAGAGACCCGAAGCCTGAGAATGATAGTGACCAGCAGCCACCGGTCGATGAGAACCTCGTCAATGAATTGAGGTTCTCCTTTGAAGGCATGGCACTTTCCAGTCGGTCGACCCTGGGACAAGGCGCCCATGGCACAGTTTACCGCTGTGAAAACTTGATGGGAACGGAGTTCGCAGTGAAGCATCTTGGCTATTCATTTTATTATTAAGGTTCATGCGATTGAACAATCATGAATGAATGAACGAATGATGTCTTTGTCGACTTTGGGTTTAGTGCTGCATCTTGTCATGTCGAGGTTGCCGGTCGGCAGCAGGGACGTGAAGAGGGAGCTAGACGTTCTCCTCAGTCTACGCCACCCAGCCATCCTGCATTGTTATGGGCCAGTCATGTCGGTCGACGGAGGTCTCGTGGGCCTTCTTTTGGAGTATGTGCCGGTGACATTGGACGCTTGGCTGAAGACGCAGCCCAAGGCCGCAAAGTGCCCACACAAATGGCATCTGATGGTCGATCTTGCACATGGACTCCAGTATCTGCACTGTCACAAGCTTGTGCACTGTGATGTGAAGCCACAGAACATACTTGTCGGTCCTGCCCCCCATGTTCGAGCCCGCTGGGCAGACTTCGGCCTCACTGAGCCGGTCGGGACAGCTGTCTATGGTGACGAGGTGTACTCTGCAGCGTACAGACCTCCGGAGCTTAGCGGGTCACAGGAACCCGGTCGTAGCTTTGCTGTAAGGGTGAGGTTGGCACCCACAGCTGATCTTTGGGCGGTCGGGTGTCTCTTGTTTGCGATCTTCACAACATCGACACTGTGTCATTTGTTTGTCACAGTGAAGGTGCTGTATGACATGTCCTTCATCAATTCCCGAATTGATAAGAACGTGCCGGTCGTCTCTGGCGCTCAAGAAGACATAAGAGCTTTCTTGAAAAAGCTGCCGAACGAGCGACAGCAGCTGAGGCTTTTCATTATTGCTGCAGAGGAGAAGTACAGACACCACGCTGGTCGTTGAACCGCCAGTCGTCGGGTGTCAAATTTCTGTGTGAAGGGGCATGCAGGAAGCCAAAAAAAGATTTAAAGCATCTGCAGTGGCAATCGTGGTCAGTGCAAGTTTTGGGGTGCGACAATCCAATTGGTCGGTCGATGCAACACTACAGCTAAGGAACCAGCTGCAGACGATGATCCCAAACCGTGAGGCGTACGTCATCACCTTCACTGCCGGTCCAGAACAGTCCCGGAATCGTCGACCGACTTACATGGTCTATTCACAGTCGGAGTTGTCGGTCTCTGCGAAGGAGGTGGTGCCGAGCCATGTGACTGTCAACAAATGCCGGTCATTTGCCTATGAGAAGTTACAGATGCGCTGCACCGACTACAATTGTGCCTTTGAATTAAATTAAAAGAATCCTTGAAACTAGACTAATGGCCCCACTGCCCACACTAACCCACACTCCTACTGAGGCAAGCTCAGGCCGTGCAAACCCATGACAGACATGCCGGCCCATCCCACAGAGGACCTTTGTGGGGGGCAGGGCGGCAGGTGCAGGTCAGGTGCAGTTCAGGTGCAGTTCAGGTGCAGTTCAGGTGATGAGGTTTTCTATATTGGTGCCATTCAGGTGCAGTTCAGGTGCAGTCCAGGTGCAGTTCAGGGTTTGATGTGGACGTCATCAATCACTTTACTGAATCTGGGAGGAGTTGCCGGTCAGTGACCAAGAGCAGCCAGAGGATAGCAAGACGTTGGACACCACAGAGGAAGCCGGTCCTGACACACAGGCGGTCGAAGCGTCCGTCGACAAGAAGTATCCTGTGGATTTGTGGTTGGTGGCCAAATGCTGGGAT